GAGAGAGAGAGAGAGAGAGAGAGAGAGAGAGAGAGAGAGAGAGAGAGTCGTCAGACGTCAGACAGATAGAGACAGAGAAAGACACACAGAGAAACACGGGGTCCTGGTAGACTTGAAATTGAAGCATCACAGGAACCAAGCTCCGAAAGATAAGAGACAAAGAGAGAAGTATCCTAGGTTGAATAAACTGATAAGCAAAGACACTGAGACATGGTCATATTTCATTTGGCAAAATATATATGTATGGATTTCCATCAAACTTTATTTTCTTTTATTTGCAGGGATATGGACGCCTTTTTATTCACAAGATCAAGCACAAACATATTCTGGCTAAAAACTATTTTTCACAGATCCCAACACTGGCTTCACTTATACTTAAGGATGATGAAGTAGAAGCTATCAGAAATAAATACTCCACAGAGAGCCCACCTAAAATCATAATACCCCGTGGGATTGAGCCACATTAGATTCAGGGATATGGATTTGATAATGAGCGTCTTTGTTCTTTACGAAGAGAGTAATACAGAGGTCATGCAACATGGAGAACCACCTGTATATTTCTATTCGTTTTATTTGTTTTATCTGGTATATTGTTATATGAATAGAAAAAAAATCTGTATACACAAACCCTTGTTAGGTGGTTAGTCATCTATAAATTTGATACTAAGATTAATAGTTAAAGAGAAAATTTTTATCTATTTTCATGTTAATTTAAGAAAAAATGCTTTATAGTCAAAATACATCAGTGAAACAAAACCTTGGCTTAACCTTCAGTGAAAGCAATTTATTTATTTAGCATATACTTTATGAGTATAATCATTCTCTATAAATAAGCCTGTATTTTGATATAAGTATTTAAATATTTTACTTTTATTGTACTTTATTGTACTACCTTTACCTTTTAAGTGCATAATCCAAGAAAAGATACTATAACAAACAAATAAAAAATCTGCATTGCATGCCATGAAGCAAGGCAAACAGTAAAAATGTTATGTTAAACACACTATGGGTGAGTGTTGAGATTCTGTAAGAAGCAAAAACTTGATCAAATAAACTGTCCACTGCCTCTCAATAAACTACGCAATAACCCTGTCTCCATATCTGTCTGAAATATGTGATGATGATGATGTATCCAAAATCGCATGATTCAAGAAGAGCTTATTTACAAAAAGGCCCTGCTCTAAGACATACATGGTATAGGGAAACAGACAGAATTCAGGGCCATGTTTCAGATATACAAAATCTGATGGAGAAGCCAGGAAATCCAGAGAGAATGGAAAGGAAATAAGTAGATCACTGAGAGGACTAGTAACCAGCCTGCAAAAGAACAACCAACCCAAGATGACCTCATGAACTAGAAAATAAATCCTCAGTCTCACACCCCTCCTTTGTTCCAATCACCTTCTCTGTTTGGAAAGGGGATAAAAATCAAAATTTACATGGCTTTAGAGGGACGAGAAGGGGAGTTAATGGTTGAACAGGTACTGAGAGCTAAATAGAAATCATTTGGGAAAGAAAAACAACTGAAAGTGAGGACGTAATTCAAATTAGTAAAATATCATGTCATAGAACTATAGAAAACACACGTTTTATTCTAATTTTATGTAAATGATGTTGTTCTTTCAAGTCTATTATTAATAAACTCGTTGTAAATATTTGCTCCATATAAATATTTGATATTTTAGCAACGCACATCTAGCATATCTACAATTTTTCCTTACATGGCTGTCTTGGTTTGGGTCTCATTGCTGTAAAAAGACACCATGACCAAGGCAACTCTTATAAAGGACAACATTTAATTGGGGCTGACTCACAGTTTCAGAGGTTCAGTCCAGTATCATCACGGCAGCAAGCATGTCAGTGGGCAGGCAGACCTGGTGCTGGAGGAGCCAAGAGTTCTACATCTTGATCTGAAGGCAGCCAGGAGGAGACTGGATGTGTTTCACACTGGGTGTAGCTTGAGCATTTTAAGACCACAAAGCTTCACCTACACAGTGATACGCTTGGTCTAACAAGGTCACACCTCCTCCATCTAGGCCACACCTCTTAATAATGATACTCCCTATGGCTAGGCATTCAAATACATGACTCTATGGGGCCATACCTATTCAAACCACCACATTCCACTCCATGAGCTATAACATAATGGAAAATGCATTTAGTCCGATTTAAAAGTCCTCACAGTCTGAACAATGTTTAGACATTTAAACTTCAAATTCTCTTCTGAGATTCATGCAATCTTTAAACTGTAATCCCCTATAAAATCAAAATAAAAAAGATTCTATACATCTAACACATCATGGCACAGAATATACGTTACTATTCCAAAATACAGGGAAAGGAGCATAGTAAGGAGATACTGGACCAAAGCAAGATCAAAACTAGCTGGACAACTCCAAACTCTGAATCTCCATGTCTGACATCAAAATGCTCTTCAGATCTCAATTCCTTTCAGCTTTGTTGACTCATACACTTTTTCTGTTGGACTGGTTCTACTCTCTGTTAGCAGTGTTCTGGGACAGGTATCCCATGGCTCTAGCATCTCTTGGGGTATCCAAGGCAATTCAGGCTTCACCTTCACCACTTCACACAGTGGCCTCTCTGAACCTTCATGGAGGGACACCCATGGCTGGCCTCAGCAGCTTTCTTTAGTCTCAGAGAGAGATTCCATAACCACTTTCACACAATGGTCTCTCTGCACCTCCAGGCAGGGATTCCTATGACATACTTGGCCTCAGCAACTTTCCTTAGCCTTGGAGTTAGATTCTTGACTCCAAATCCAGAACTACATGGCTGAAGCTGCCAAGTTCTGCTGCTTGCTAGAGCTGGCACATGGCCCCCTTGTTCAGTCACGTCTTTTACCAGCTTTACATTTTCAGTGACTAAGCTTGGTGGTCATAGAACTTGCTCTGCAGAACAGGCTGGCCTTGAATTCAAAGATCTGCATACCTCTGTCTACCAACATACCTCTGCAAACCCTCTGCTGGGTTTAAAGGCATATAACCAACACACTTGGACCTAAGCTTTTCTTTAATTTTTTTTTCATTATAGAGCTTTATAAGCATGGCTACTATGCCTCAAATCTGGGTTAAACCTGTGTTGATCCAGATCAAAAGCATTCATCATCTCACCTCAAGATCTTGATCAAAAGCCTGTGTCTTTTGGTCTCAAGATACCAATCAAATGTATATTTTCTTTTTGCCTCGAGATCCAGATCAGGTGTACCCTTCATTTCTGGATTATAGTTCATTGCAAATATAGGCAAGTTGACAATTGAGAATAGTCATTATAATCTACTCCTTGTCACCTTGATACACAACCATATCTCCATATGTTCAGATGAAAACAATAACCAGGTTATAATACCACTTAACATGATATAACTATCACTGTATAACAGCAAATGCATCATAAATGTAGAATAGGTGACCATGTGCCTTGAGGAACATCCTCTTTACAAGATGGCAACTTAGTTATGTGGAGTCTTGCCCCAGTTCCCCTTAATTCCACTCCCTTAATTCCAATTGATACCATTAATCTGTTTATCTCCTTGAACACAAGGTTCAGCTCCATTCCATTTTCTATCCATCATTGTGTTAAAATACTTCAGAAAAACAAAATCTGATCAGGAAAGGTTTCTTTGCTCATGTTTTCAGAAGTGAGGATGTGTTTGCTTGGCAGTGTTACTATAGGCTTGCAGTGGGACAGAACATCATGGAAGAAGAAATGTATTACATGTGCTGCTGCCTACCTAATTCCAGTATATGCTTTCTCTCTCTCTCTCTCTCTCTCTCTCTCTCTCTCTCTCTCTCTCTCTCTCTCTCTCTCTCTCTGTGTGTGTGTGTGTGTGTGTGTGTGAGAGAGAGAGAGAGAGAGAG